TACGAGCAATTTGACATACGAGCAAGGTTACAGAACGAATTAAACTTGCATGTTGAGGTACCACTGTATAGGAAAATAACTGGATACTTATTTCCTGCTTTTCCCAATCTCAGCTGACAGAGTCAATGGGGCTGCAGGTGGGAAAAATTAGTTTGGGGGGAATGTTGGAAATGGGAATATAGATGATTATAGATGGGAATATGCAGATGATACAATACTACTAGCATAAGCCAGCAAATACCTGGGGCAATTATTGAAGACGATCAAGGAGGAAAGTGCCAAGGTAGGCTTAATACTGAGCGTCAAGAAAACAAAAAATAATGGTCATGGAAGATCTATAAGAATTCATCTTAGATAATGAGAATACTGAAACAGTCAAAGAGTTCCCTTACATTGGATCAAATATTGATGGAATGGTGACTGCAGTCAAGAAATTAGAAGATTCCAATTGGGAAGGGCAACTATGAAAGAAATGGACAAAATCCTAAAGTGTATAAATCTTAACACCAAAGTGAGGACTTTCCAAGCCATCATATTCTGCATCACCATGTACAGGTGTGAGAGCTGGGCAGTGAATAAAGTCATTTGAAAGAAAATAAACACATTTGAGATGTGGTACTGGAGAAGAGTGCTGAGGATACTGTGGACAGACAAGAAAACAAACAAATGGGTTCTAGAACAGATCAAGTCCAAACTCTCCCTGAAAGCCAAGATGACCATACTGAGGTTGTTGTACTTTGGACACATCATGAGAAGGCATGAACCAATGAAAAAAGATAATAATGCTAGTAAAGATAGACGGCAGTAGAAAGACAGGGAGACCATAGAGGGTTGGACTCAGAGAGGCCATGGACCTGAATTTACAGAGCCTAGACAAAGAAGTTGAGAACAGGGGGCCTTGGAGAAGTCTCATCTACAGGGTCTCCATGAGTCAAGGTCAGCTTAAGGGCAGTTAACAACAGCAGCATAGATGATTACAAACTACAGTATTTCAGATGCCTGGGAAGTAGTCCAGGTCCATTGATTAGCACAGATTAACTTAGGGCCTCTGCACACCAGATGTCTTTTCGGCACAGCATTCAAACATGCTGTGCTGAAAAGGGTGCTGAAAAGCTGCATGCCGGCTCTTAGGGTGGCCTTTTGCCATCCCTAAAAGGAGTGGCATTTGGCAAAAGGGAGGATCGGGGCCGCGGCCCTAATCTTCCACTTCCCGGGGTGGCCCAAAGCTGCCCGTCTGCAGTCTCCCTTAGTCCACCCATTTATGGATCCACTATTATGTGTACCAGTATAATACACATAAGCATGTATTTATTGCATCTGTACTCTTCACATATATATATATATATATATATATATATATATATATATATATATATAAAATGTCTGTTCATCCACATGAATTTAATTCTGGCATTGGGAACATCTAGCCTTCCAGATGGTATTAGTCTCCTATCAACCTTAATCAATATAGTCAATGGAGAGAAATAATAGGTGTTGAAGTTCAACAAACAATGGCAAAGAATCATGTATTTCCCTTCTTTGATTTTATCCATGTATCCCACGGAATCCATTTCACATGAGGCTTGGTGGGGTGTGAGATGGTGAGAGCATGCAGAGGAGGGAGGAGAAACCCACCTTCCCTGACTTTACCTCACTGAGAAGGGCTGCAGTCCAGGGTCAGCATCCCCAGGCAGTTGCTGACAGGCTAAGTCAAGGGTGGGCAGAGGCACATAGGTAGAAGAGGCCAATTTTTTTGCCCTTGTACATTTGCAGTCGGCTGCATTATGGCATTTTCTGTGACAGAATTGGTAGAAAATTGAAAATGCAATGGCTTCCAGTTATTATTCCAACACATTTTCATGGATCTTTGGGGAAGTTTCAGAGTTCTCAAAATCTGACACTCCTCAATGTCTCCAAGAGTATATTTTGGGGTGAAAATTCCCCTCCAATTACATTAAAATGGGGGTTCTAGAGACTTTGCAGGGTTGTAGAAAAGGTTGTGGGTGGTCCTGGGGAGATCACAGGCTGGCTTAAACCTATGGGACAGCTCACTGCTGCTCCTATTTGCTAACTACAGTCACCTGAATGGGATCTGCCATTTTAATTTCCCCACAGTGCTTTTGGGTGTTATGATGTAGCTTCATTCTAGCACAAGCTCTTGTCAACCAGACCAGATGATCTTATTGCTGCTGTGCCACCAAGAAAACAGAGACAATGCCAAGGAGGCCCCTGTTGCTGAAAGGGAGCTCTCCAAACCTGGTGTTAGTCCTCTCAACGGCTTTCAGTGGATTCTCCTAGTCTCTTTTGCTGGAGCAATGGATCACAGTATGACAAGGCAGGGGAAAGTGGTGACCTCTGCCCTCCTCTCCTGCACATTCATTCCTCTTTGAAAACAACCCTCCATTCTGCTTTTTAATAATAATAATAATAATAATAATAATAATAATTTTATTTATAGCCCGCCACTCTGCACAGCAATTGCAGTGGGTTACAACATTGTAAAACATATAAATTTAAAAGCATTCCTTATCCCATATCCAACCCTCCCGCCCCTTAAAACTGGATTAAACTATTGAAAAATTAAAACATAATACAATATAATACAACACAACAAAACAATAACAAACAGCAATGAAGCAGGCCACAGGAAAGGGACAGGTAGAACCATCCCCTCAAGCCAGAGGGTTATTCCCGGGAAGGCCTGCCGGAAGAGATCCGTCTTTACTGCTTTTTTAAAAGCAGCAAGAGTAGTAATAAGACGGATCGCATCCGGCAGGCCATTCCACAGTCTGAGAGTGGATGCAGAGAAGGCCCTCTGGGAGGTCTGAGACAGCCTAGTTTTTATTGGCTGTAACAGATTCCTCCCAGAGGAGCAGAGGGCACAGGGGGGATCATACGGGGAGAGGCGGTCCCTAAGATGACCCAAGCCATGTAGAGCTTTAAAGGTTAACACCAACACCTTGTACTGTGCCCAGAAACTAATTGGCAGCCAGTGGAGGGACTTTAGCACTGGTGTTATACTGCTCCCTCCTAGATGTTCCAGTAATTAACCTGGCTGCCATGTTTTGT